GAACAGGCCAAAATGGACCAAAGGATGCGTACAAGACAGACTGGGACCACAAACCTACCTCATCAAAACAGAAGACAACTTGTTGTGGAAGAGGCACCTAAACCAGATGCGGCCATATCTCCTAGGAAAACATTTGCCTGTTATCGACATATCCAGAAGTCAGTTGCCAGTCAAAGATGATACCATTGGCTCTCCGAAAAGTTGCGATACAGTTACTTTGGAAGAATATGACCAGGATATAGAACGAAGTGAACCAAACCATGGACGGAACTTCCCTAAAGAGGGTCTAAATGAACAAGAGGATCTTAGCCTGGAGGAAGTATTAGACACCGAATAAGGGGATTTCCAAGGGGAAGAAGATCTCAGTCTTGATCAAGAACAAGTAACGCCTTCCCTTCCTAAAAGGACTATTCGTAAAAAAAATTTAAGTGAGCAAAATTTTCTTTTAAGGGGGAAGATCTTGTGACGTCACATGGTGATATGTCTCGTCTCATATTAGTTAGAGTCACAACAGCTACCCACACTTCTGTAAGAAACCCTGGAGTAATTTTTGATCAACATCTGTCCTGGAATGATCACATTTCCCAAATTATTCGAAAATCCATTGGTACCCCGAACAGTTCCTGGGATTCCGTGACTCTATGCCTCTTAAAATCCGTCAGCTCCTAGTTTCCTCTATCATTTTCTCTCTTGTATACGGTGGACTGTTTCGTGGGCTTGAGGTCAGATTGAAGAGACTAATAAATTGCCTCGTTAAATTTGTCTTTAGAGTTCCCAGGCGCTCCTAAGTCTCCAGTTGCTATGCCCAGTTGAAACTCCATCTATTTTTCTGACGGCAATATTTCCTAGGTGTATTTCTTTTTCTGAACTTTTACAACAAAAAAACCTTCTTACCTTCTTTTATCTTTAATCCTTGTTCCAGTGTCCATTCGTTCAACACGAGATCCCAAACCTTAAACCTGCTTATTCCTTCTCCTTGAACTGTTTCCTTTAAAAAATCCTTTGTGATACGTGCTATCTTGTTTTGGAATTACCTACTAACGTCCATACGAAAATCTTCATCCTTGACCTCATTTAAACACTATTTATTTTTCAATCTCCTCAGTAATCAATCTTCCGAATATATGTAAAATTATGTTATTTTGTATTTTAGAGATGTCAGCCAAATTTTATTGATACCTTGCAGATATCTATGTATTAAACATGTTGCTTTTTTGTACAAATACGTAAACTCATTCGTATGTATTTATCTATAATTTCATAATTGGTAATTGGTTGACTGTCGTGGATAATGAAGAGAAGAATAGTTGGAGTGCTCAGTCAAAAAGGAAGGCAAAAAATAAATTATAATATTTATTTTTTACATATGCCGACGTTTCGACCTGAAGTTCAGGCCTTCATCAGGGCTAAGAAAATAACCAGATAACAAGGTATGAGAAACATAAGTAATGATGGTAAAAAAGATAATAAAAAATGAGAAAATAAAATAAAAAAAAATTATTAGAAAAATAAAATAGATAGATATAAAGTAAAATGAAATTGTTAGAATAATGACTAAGAACTAAGAGATAAATAATAAAAACTGTTACATAGTGAGGAATGATGAAGTAGGCATAATCAAAAAGGGGTGACAAAAGTGTTACATTGGGAATCTTAGAATAAAATGTAAAAACATAAAAAAGAAATATAAAGTTATATAAGAAATGAAAATAAAATAAATAGTAAAATTAAAACATTGAGAATGGAGTAGTTAGATATAAAATTGAGATATTGTAAAGTCTATCAAGATGTACAGACAATGTATAATATAATAAAGAGTTAAAAACAGAGAAAAGGAATGAAAGGAAGGAGGGAAGAAATTGAGAAAGCTGAAATAAGAAATAAATAAAATTCTATGTAACTACTCCATTCTCAATGTTTTAATTTTACTATTTCTTTTCTTTTCATTTCTTATATAACTTTATATTTCTGTTTTATGTTTTTACATTTTATTCTAAGATTCCCAATGTAACACTTTTGTCACCCCTATTTGATTATGCCTACTTCATCATTCCACACTATGTGACAGTTTTTATTATTTATCTCTTAGTTCTTAGTCATTATTCTAACAATTTCATTTTACTTTATATCTATCTATTTTATTTTTCTAATTTTTTTTTCTCATTTTTTATTATCTTTTTTACCATCATTACTTATGTTTCTCATACCTTGTTATCTGGTTATTTTCTTAGCCCTGATGAAGGCCTGAACTTCAGGTCGAAACGTCGGCATATGTAAAAAATAAATATTATAATTTATTTTTTGTCTTCCTTTTTGACTGAGCACCCCAACTATTCTTCTCTTCATTATCTATAATTTCATATTTTTAGTAGTGCCTTTTCTTTATTTTAATAATGGGATTTAATAATTTTCTTTATTTATATTATTAGATAACTGTAAATTAATTTATTTTTAACTGTATTCTAATGCCAGACAATTTACATTTCGTTGTTCATTGTAGTTATTCTGCGGGGACTAAATGTTCCAGGATAAAATTTCCTTTTCTTTCTTTATTCGAGATCAATTTTGGATCAAAAAGTTGATATTTTTTTAAACCCGAATTGTTTTGTTTTTTTTTAGCTCTAATTTTTTATTCACACCTGTCATAATGGTCACGACAACCAGTGAATGTGAGGTCGATTGCAAAATATAATGTCATGAAAGGCATGAGAAGAATCAGTGCCCAGCGGCACCTCACTCGGCGTGATATCTACATTAGGCGAGGAGGTCCCTCATCCAGCTCCTCTTCAGTCTCCTACAGACGTTACCTGGCATATTCATAATGGCCATGTCATTTATAAGTATATTAAGATACCATGGAATCGTTTGTAATGAGTTCGAATGTGTTCGTTAACAGTCGGCATATGGAGGTCAGTATGTAAGATTATGTTGCTAACGTACCAAGGTGCTTTTGTAATTGTTCTGAATGTTTTTGCTTGAAAGATTTAAAGTTTGTTTAAGTGAGTCTTTTTAGCAGTTCCAAATATCTGTGATGCGTAAGTCCAAATAGGTTTTAGTGAGTAATTGTACGTGTTCAATTTCTGTCTAAGTTTTAGTTTTGAATTTTTCGAACGAAGTGAACTCGGAATTCTTAACCTTTGATTTAGCGTTTTTCGTTTCTTGATTATATGTGGGTCCCACGTCATTTTTCTGTCAAATGTCATACCAAGGTAGTGAACGGTGTCTGTCTGTGGAATCTGTGTATTGTTAAGGAAAACTGGAGGGCATGTTTCATATCGAAGCGTAAATGTGATGTGCTGTGATTTGTCTTGATTTAGTCGGATTTTCCAAATTTTGAACCAGTCATGTAATCTTGTTAAATACTGTTGTAGGGTATGTGAGACGTATATTGGATTTCTGTGTTTTGCTAAAATTGCTCTGTCGTCTGCATATGTCGCTGTTAAAATGTTGGGAGTACAAGGTATGTCATGGGTGTATGTGATATAGAGTAGTGGAGTGAGTACTGAACCTTTTGGTACTCCTGCTGAGATAGACCTGATGGAAGATAACTCTGACCCGTGTCGGACCGAGAAAAATCTGTCGGAAAGGAAGGATTGTAAAATTAGATAATATGTAGGTGGGAGTATTGTCTTGAGTTTAAAGAGAAGACCCTGGTGCCAAACTCTGTCAAACGCTTGAGCAACATCCAGAAATACGCCAGTTGTATTTACTTTCTGCTCTAGTGCTGTAGATATGTAGTCCGTTACTCTATGTAGTTGGTGTATAGTTGAGTGATGTGCCCTAAATCCAAATTGATGGTCAGGTATTATTTGGGTGTTTATTAGTATATCAACAAGTCTTTTGTTCAGTAAGCTTTCAAAACTTTTGGAACAGATAGGTAGTAAGCTGATTGGACGGTATGAGGAAGGTGAGTTTTTGTCCTTGTTAGGCTTGTGAATTATTATTATATGTGAGTATTTCCACTGTAGTGGAAATTTAGTTGTCCTCAGTATTGCATTATAAATAGTTGTCAAAAGCACTAGAGCTTTTCTAGGCATTTGTTGGAGCACTTCAGCGTTAATCAAGTCATGTCCAGGAGCTTTTCTTTTAGGCAACTTTTTGATTTGTTCAGCAATCTGGGAAGGTGTGAATGAAATAGGAGGTGAAGTTAGTTGTAAGGGCACGTCTAAAGTGTTTAGTACATTGTTATCGCGCACAGTGTTAGTGAAGTCTTTGTGTGGCACAAAAACAGAAGAAAGATATTCGGCAAAGAGTTCTGATTTTTCTCCGTCCGTCACGGCCCAGGAATCATCTTGTCTTCGAAGGGGTGCTGACACTTCACGATGCTTAATAAGGTTTTTACACCAAATATTCAAGAAGCAGCATGGTCTTCATCAGTAGCAAAACCTCAAAAATATGAGTTGCTACCAATGTACCCACAATACATAAGGGACTTGATCAGAGCGAAGAGGAGAGCTCGCAAAATATGGCAGACTGACAGACTCCCATCAGATAAACGAACTTACAACAGACTTAATAATGAACTCAAGCGACAGATTGGAAAATTCAAACGGACAACCTATGACAGCTACATCAGAAATCTCTCAACCGACGATGGAAGGTTGTGGAGACATACCAAACCCGAATTGTTAGATCCAGAAATGCTAAATGTTCAAATAATACTATATAGTGAATACAAGAATGACCCCCATATGCATTTTTGTTTTAAATTCAAGAATTCAGTAGTTAGGCATTTCTCATTTTTCAATCGACTGATAGATTACAGCGATGGAAGTAGCGTTGAGTTTAGAAATTTCTCTATCATGATATTACATATCTAACATTATAGTTAATCCTAACTCCTATGTAAATATTTAAGCTTAATGAAGTGTTACGTAGTTATCCTCAATGTCTTTTACAATTTTGAAAAAAAAAGTTCATAGAGTGATTATCGTTTTTCAATTATCTATTAGATAAATAAATCAAAAAGATATGGAACCTCTTTGGTTTATTTAATGAATATTTCTTTCGGTGAACCCTACGGAGCAGTTTCTTGTGTTATGGGTTGTGCCTAGGGGTGTGTAATGTTAATACAATTTTGAATAGTGCGTAATGGAAGAAATTCAGGATAAGAAATATTCACAACCTTGCATTGCTCAGCCAGTTTCTCCTGCTGGTCTAGAAGCCTTATATGTAGCTTGCAGAGAAATTTACCCTGATCAACCCAATCCCCTGCAAGTAGCTGCTGTGATTAAATACTGGTACATGTATTTTTTCTCATAAAGATTAGGTTGATTTATGTATAAAGTCCTTAGAGACAATTTCTTGTAATTTTTTCAGGCTTGGCGGACCAGATCCCCTTGACTATATCAGCATGTATTTCAATCGAGGAAATTCAGACTTAGGAGTACCTCCTCACTGGCATTACATAAGGTAATTATCCTTTATTCTTCTCAAGTTACATTATTATAGCATGGATGGGCACAAGGTCACATGATAATGCTTTTATGGAACGTTGAAGCTTAGAAAATCTGTTGAATACCATTTATAGAATGATCCTTTTTTTTTCTCTATGCCTGTTGACTTTGACTTTTTAAGCCATGAGTCATTTTCAGTAGCTTGGAGCTGTTATAGGCGATAGTAGTGATTGTTTTGTTCTCTCTTCTTTGAGATATCCACGAAGCACGTGGTTTACTAATCGGACGCGATCACTTTCATTCTCCCTGTAGTATCCTGAGATCTTACACCCACGCATCAAAGTGGAAAAGCACTTATGAGGTAGGATACTACTGCACAAATATCACTCAACTTGCATTGGTGGCACGAGATCTCATGATCACACCATGTTCAGAACTGACCGAACAATCTGGTAAGACCTCCCAACTTCAACTGAAAAGGACTCATTGGAAGTTAATCTATCCATTTAGAGCGAGCAGTATGAGGGGAAGACGAAAGCAGTAATATAATTGAAGCTAATTAATGTTCCGATTTTAAATGAAAAGGATCAGTAGGGAGCTTGCTTATGTTGTACAGTGGTGCTGATCGCTGATCTAGGAGACAAAATAACTTCCAAATTATAAGAGATGTAATATAGCATCCTTTCTATAATTAGAGTTAGTGACCTAAAAAGTGGTCTAGTAATATTCCTAAGTTCATCAAAACTTTCACTGTAAGATACAGTATAATAAGTTTTGGGCGAGCAGGCCTTCAGTCCAACCAATTGACCACTAACTCCAGTATTACTTTATTTATTGTTGAAATCAGAACATATGTGTGTTGTTGCTCAAGATTGCTTTTGATAATTTAGTTGGGTGGCTTCATATCAAAGACAGACTCTGTCACTTTTAATAAGTTGAGAAAAATCCAACTTTTGTACCTTAAGTACAATTTAAACCATTAGTAATTGGCCATTGCCAAAACTCCAATATATAAATATTTACAGAAGGTCTCGGGAGGCCTCTGCCATTTTAACCTCCAAGGAGGATTGTAGGGATGACTGGAGCTAGATAGGGATTGTGCCAAAGGATTTGGATGATGAGTGAGGTCCTGGTGAAATTTGGAAAATTTGTTTGGGATTAGGTGAAGAACAAATTAGAAATGAAGATCATTATGGAGGATTTTATTGGATACATAGAAGGGAGCATCGACTATTGATCGGAGGACTTTAGACTGGAAGGATTGTATGCGTTTGATGTTAAAAAGTTATGCTGTCCCCCACAGTTCTATTCCGTAGGCCCAAATAGGTTTCAGGATTGTCTTGTAGATTAGTAATTTGTTGTCGACTGAAAGTTGAGATTTTCTATTCAATAGTCTATGTAGCTGTCCGTATCGTCTGTTAAGTTGTTGTCTGTAAGTCTGGTATGTGGGTTCCATGTTAGTCTGTTATCTAGAATAAAGCCAAGATACCGGACTGCGTCAGACAGAGGAAGTGGTATGGAGTTGAAGTAGACTGGTGGACAGGAATTGCGTCGAAGGGCAAAAGTGATATGTTTGGCCTTGGATTCGCCACTTTTTACACCAGTTTTCAATAAGAGAGAGGTGACTTTGTAGGTTTAAGGATGCTGTTTCAGGATCTGGATTGGAAGATAAGATGGCTGTGTCATCAGCGAATGTTGCCAGGAGGATTTTGGGATGAGTAGGAATATCAGCCATAAACAGAATGTAGAGGACGCTGCCTTAAGGAATTTCCGCCTCGATTGAATGACAGTTGGAGGATTCTGTATTACAGCGAACTTGAAAGGAGTGGTCAGATTAAGATATAAGGAATGGGTTAGATGGGATTTAAGCTTGAAGAACAGTCCGCATGCCATACCCGGTCGAAAGCTTGCGCGATGTCCTGGAATGCTCCTGAACAATACTCTTTGGTCTCTAGGGCTGAAGATATGTGGTCAACAAGTTGGAGTCCTTGTTGGACAATGGAATGTTGGAAGCGAAACCCGAATTGGTGGGTAGGAAGGTTTTGGGATTCTATTATGGGTAGGATTCTTTTGAGTAGGATTTTTCCAAAAATTTTTGAAAGGATTGGGAGTAAGCTAATTGGTCTATATCATGATGTATTATTGGAAGATTTGCCTGGTTTCAGGAAAAGGATGATGATGAAATGTTTCCATAAGAGAGGGAAATGAGTAGTTCTTAGGATGCAGTTGTATTATTTATGTGTATATTGTATTTATTTATGCAGTTGTATTGTATATGTATGTGAGGAACATGATTGCTTTGGGTGGTAGTTGATGAAGGATCTGTGGAGCTAGAAGGTCGTATACAGGAGATTTGCGGGATGATAGTTTTTGTAAATGATATTTAACCTCAGAAGGATGAACTGCTTTTGGTGGTAAAGAGAATGGAATTGGTGAGGAAAGGAATTCTTCTACTTTTACAATGTGGGTCGGATTGGATTCGGGATGAGGAGTAAATCTACTGGAAAGGTGTTTGGTGAATTCCTCAGCTTTGTCATCATCAGACGCCGCCCAGGATCCATCACCTCGACGGAGGGGATGGGAAATATGTTTTTTTAGGATTTTTTTGGTTATATTCCAGAGAGAATTATCCTGAGCGGAGAGAGAGATAGGAAGGAGTTAAAGGATTGGGATTTGAAGTTGAATAATTCTTGCTTTAGTTGTTTAGAGAGATAGTTATAGGAGCGGTGGTCGGTTGATGTCTGGTAGGTTGCCATAACAATCTGGCACGGCGTTTGGTATGGATTAGGTCGAGGATGTGGTGAGGTAATTTATTTTTCTTTGGAGTTTTTGAGGAATGATGAAAGGAGAGGAAGCAGTCCAGACTGCTTTTTGAATGGTGGTGGTTAAGGAATGTCTGTACATTCCTGTCATTGTCAAGGTGTTCTGGAGTTTTATTGAGGTCAATTTGATTGGAAAGGATTTGATGAAAGAGTTTCCAGTTGACTGGGCCTCTGATGAAGGATGGTGGGGAGGGTTTAGGAATATGAGCTAATGATAATTGGAATATTAGTAGACTGTGGTATTAGGAAAGTTCATCAAGACGTGCAATGGAATAGTTGAGAGGACCTAAACTACTGTGGATGAATAAATCAAGGATATCGGGATTACGGTTAGGATCAGTGGGCCAGTAGGTAGGTGAGTTAGGGGGAACGAGATTAAAATGTTGGGAATTGAGTGCAGACAGCAGTGCTCGACCTCAAGAATTTGTGGTTCTTGAACTCCATTGCTGATGCTTGGTGTTTAAGTCTGCACCCAGGATGAAATCGTGTCCTAAGGAATTGAGGAAGGAACTAAATTGGATATTAGAGATGGATTGGTTGGGAGGGCAATACGCTGATACAAGGTTAATAGGAAACGAGAAGGTTTTGATTATGATAGCAGTGGATTGTAGGAAATTGTGAGTAAGTGATGAGAGAAGGATTGGTGTACAATGACTGCAGTACCGGCATGTGCTCTACCGTCTGGATGGTCAGTATGATATGTTGAGTACTGAGGTATATTTAAAATTTGTTTTTTGGTCAGTCGAGTTTCTGTAATAAGAGCTACATCAACGTTCTTGTCTATCAATAAAGCTGTTAGTTCATCAGTGTGGTTTCTAACACCATTCACATTCCAAAGGAGAATGGATAATAGTTTGCTGGAATTCATTTAAGGATTTTTTAAAGGAGGGATGAGGTGATATACTAGATTTGTAAGAAGAGATATCAGAGGGGTGATGAGGGATTTAAATTCAGTGAGGAAAGATGCCAACAAACTGGTAAGATCAGTGCGTGTTGGAGGAGGAATATAAGGAATGTGATGTTGTTGAGAGTTTTGTACATTAGGAGGGATAGGGTGTTGAAGTTGGGATTGGGTTCCTGTTGTGACAGGGTCTCACATTTATCAGTTGGGACTCTGCCCCCTAGTAACTGATAATAAGATACTCTAGAGTCTACTATTTTAGCAGATCCTCTTCTGAGTTCCGGGGTTTACGAAATTTATTTTTGAGGTTTTTGTACACCAGGCAGCTCTTGTAGTTAGCAGGATGTCCTTCTAGGCATAAAGCATATACTGCGGAAGTAGTTTTCAATTTCTTGCACTAACCAGTCTTGTGTGACTCTCCGCATTTCACACATCTTGGGATGTGGTGGCAGTATGTTTTGGTGTGTCAATATGCCTGGCAATTGTGACACTGGACGATTTCTCTTTTAGTGTATGGCGTTTCAACCGTGACACTTGTATAATCTGTTGATTTCATATATTTTATAGGCACTTATAGCTGCGAGATAAGAACAAGCCTCTGTACACCAGCTTCACTTCGCAAAACTGTACACAATAAATAACAACAGTACTCACTGTGGCATTAGTATATATTCTGGTCCAGATGCTTAGCTCACATACAGTCACAATTTTGTTAAAATATAACACTAATTTCCTAAGAAAAAAGTTCATATGTTTAAGAGACGAGGTGACCGTGGTATATTGTAATCTAGCGCATGCGCTGGATTCATTCAGTTAACTATATTTCTTTTTCACTGGAATACATTCAGAATACATAAACATATATTTATGGACTCTTTTTTTTTTAATTATATGTTGTGAATCGTACTAACAGAATTATGAATTATACTCGTATTATAAAATTTAGTCAGGCTTGAAAGATTAATGTAGCCCAATTAAAATTAAAGTGCCCAGAAAATAATTTTTCAATTTCGTTAATTTTTTTTTTAAATATGTCAGCTGAAGCAAAGTTTCTAGACCTGATAACCACCAGTAATCCTCTCAAGATTTTGAGGGAACAAATAATGTTTTTCTGCATCCTTTGAAAAAATGAATGAGCAGAAAATATAGGAAATAATATAGAAGGGTGCTCAGAAAGGCACAAATTGGGCTTAATTTTTTCATATTTATTCAATGTAAGAGCGTATTCTTGTATTTCCAGAGCCATGGATTATAAAAATGACCTCCATTTTAAGATTAGGACACTGCATTACGACTTATTTAAGTTTTTCGGATTCCTTGCATCAAAGGGCGTATTCTTACTTTTCCGGAGCCATAGATTTTGAAAATCACCTCCATTTTAAGATTACGACTTATTTACGTTTTTCGGATTTTTTCCATCAAAGTGCGTATTCTTATGTTTCTGGAGCCGTAGATTTTGAAAATGACCTCTATTTTAAGATTACGCCACTGCGTTTCGACTTGTTTTAGTTTTTTGGTTTTTTTTCCATAGGAGGGCGTATTCTTATGTTTTCGGAGCCGTGGATTTTGAAAATGACCTCTATTTTAAGATTACGCCACTGCGTTTCGACTTGTTTAAGTTTTTTCCATAGAAGGGCGTATTCTTGCCCTTAGTTCATCCCCGAAATCGAAAATTGCCTAAAAGGCATCTGTTACATTGGCTAATTTTTGAGAAATGGACCAGTGCTGGAGAGGAGCCTCCCATTGATACCGACACACCGAAAAGACCCATACCCCTGTATTTTTGCTACGCGTATTTCATCACGGAGCAAGCAGGTAAACCTACTGCAGCCTTAACACTTCTTCCCTGTATGATGTCTATAGCCTCCAAGAGCAGCGAGAGTAATGTTGCCAATGGCAGTCTGCAGTGGGTATATTTGTGAAAGAAAGATATACCCATTGACAATATTGATCTTCTGTTCTTGCTCAAGAAGATCTGAACTTACCAATTTTTCCATGTTTCTGGTTACTTTCACCATGGAACCCTCGACAAACCCTAGCTCTCCAGATAATTGACACCCAAGATATTTGATAGTGTCATCCTCTTCAATGGAGCTGATTATAATCATAAGGAAATTAATAACAGCTGGACTGACCAGAATACCTAAGACAGGGGAAGCTCTATAGAGGACATATTGCTCTTACCTAACTTTAGAGACAACACTCTGAAGATGTCATATGAATTCTCATTTTAGTTAAATTATTGAAGGAACTGTCTACTCATTGTAATAGACATAGTTCATATTTTATCAGATAACCAGCATAATAAAAAGTTAGTTTTATTAAAATATATTATTGTGTTTTATTTGTAGAAATAATATAAATCATTATTTAGTAGAAAAAGTAAAAGGAATGTTAAGTTGATAGAGGTGCTTTGTCATTTTATCACTAATTAACTTTATTTTCTTAAAAGGTTCTGTAATCTATTGTTGAGGTTAATAACTTTAATGTAATTTTAAGCAATTATGTGGCAACTGCTAACTTATGTAGTACATAAAAGTCAAGTAATATTATTATGTACATTTTTTTAGCTTTGGATTAAGTGATTTACATGGCGATGGCCGAGTTCATGAAAAAACAGGACTTGGAGAATTGTCAGGTTTTGGTTTTGAAATAACTTTTCGCTTGAAACGAGAGCCCGGTGAAACTTCTCCTCCAACATGGCCTGCTCAACTTCTCCAGTCCCTCGCTAAATATGTTTTTCTGTCAGGTATATCTTCTGTGATGCATGCAAGCAATACCAAGCATGCAATTGTTAGTAATTATAATAGTAATTAAGCATGAAATATATTAGAATTATAAAATTCTAACTCAATAGTTTTTATTAAGACCCTGTTGTTATACAATGGATTTGGTCATTAATTGTTTTGTTGTTAGCAAGCAATGATAAAAAAAATTGAGGACTTTCACTAAAACTTATATTGAATCCATTTCAGGAAACGTATTGTATGCAGGAGATCATGTTTCTTGGCACAAAGCATTAGATTCAAGTGAATCATTAATAGAACATATACTCTTAATGGAGGACCCTCAATTCAAAACTGTCTCAACACCTAATGGTGAAGTATCCTTCATTCAAGTTATTGGAGTTACTAAATCAGAACTTGAATGTGCCCAGCGATGGTCTCCTCATGGAGTGATAGAAATACTTAAGAAAATTCCAGGGTAATATTGTTTTCTACGATTTATGTTATAAACTTGCATAATTCTGCCCCACAATATGTCTTATTTTTATAAATATATTTATACTCTTCAGAGGAACCTGTGGAGGTAATTGGTTAGTCACAGACATGAGAAGAGGAATGTCCATGTTTGAATTAGATCCAAACTCATCTCAACTAGTAAAAGAAGGGATAGAAAAAGATGGGTCCAATTTAAGTGGGGTTGCTGCTGTTTGTTCGTGGAAAGAATCAAGTAAATATATTATTATCTTATCACATTGTCATTCGTTAATCTATAATTACTTCATTAGCATGGGTTAAAATGATTTGAAAAACTAAAAATCTAATGTGCGCATCACACAACTTATCCTTACTGCTCTTTTTTTAACATAAATTATTTTCTGGTAAATTTGGGCTACTACAAAGCTTTTAAGTGCATTTTTAACAGAACTAAACCTTAGACCTTATAGCTAACTTGTAAAAACTCTTTATACAGTATTTATTATATTGATGGTAGACATTAAAAGTCTCGTAACTCCATCTGTCTTTTTAAATCACATAACTCCAGTCATTGAGCTCAGTATACTTAGAGAGATTTGAAAATACATCAATATATTTAATCTATAAATGAGTAAGGATTGTTCTACATTGTAAAACTTGTAGGAGCTAAATCTGAATAACATTATACATGTTATTAAACTCTTGTTTTTACTTTATAAAATTTACTAAAATGGAGTTATAAAGTTTTTATTGTCTTCCTTTGTCAAGTCAAAAGTTGTCACACTAATTATAAGTGGATAGTGGTTATGTTATCACAAAAGGAAAAAAATTCATTCAATTATTCACTAATTTAAATTTCAATAATGTTACATAATGATTTTTCTGAAGAAACTGATGATATATACCAACTATTTAAATTTATTTAAAGTTATTAAACTACTGTAAATGTATTTAAGGCTATAAATGTTAAATTAAGTTTTACTCATCCAGGAAAAATTTTTATAATTCACCTCTTCTGAAACATACTTAAGTACAATAAAATATTTTTTAAATAATGTTATTACCTTGAATTGGTGGATTATTTAATTTTTTGAAACTTAAAAATAACTTTAAAAGTTTACATTTGCTTAGGAAATTTCATTTAATTTCCATAAAAACATTTGGTTTCCGTTATTAAATAATATTAGTTTTTAGAAATTATTATTTATAATTTTGTCTTCACTATCTGTTATCTTCTATGACTTAATATACTAAGTATTATTTTTTCTAAAATTCTCAACTTTCCATCAATATATTATACATAATAGTGACCTCATATCATTGAAGACTGACATTGTCATTTTCAGCTTTTTGAGAAAAAGCGAATTTACATTGTAATGAATGAATGAATGAAAAATAATTGTATTCTGGAAGTGAATTCCCCAAAGAATAATAGCAGAGTTAAACAAATAAATATATATTAGTCTGGCATGGAGAAAAGGAGGTTTTTCTGGCTCTCGTATAGTCGGCGCTGAAGATGGAACTATCCATAAATGAGAGCAAAATCAATAGTTGCTGGTATAAATGCACAACATCAACAAATCTCGATAGGTGACTACACAATCGAAACGGTCAAACGATTTGTTTATTTGGGTTCCCAAGTAAATAGCGACAATGATGTATCAGAGGAAATATGTAAGAGGATCCTGGCGGCAAATAAATGTTATTTTGGCCTGCAGTGGTATCTAAGCAATCGCTTAATCTCCAGAGAAAAAAAAATGACTCTGAACAAGACGCTGATTTATCCTGCCCTCACATATGGAGTGGAAAAATGGAGCTTCTTTTGAAAGAAAAGTACTATGTCGCATTTATGGACCAGTATGCTCAGGTAACGATTGGAGAAGGCAGAGTAATACAGAACTGGCCGCCATGCATAATGATACGAATGTAGTCTAGTTCATTAGAATACAGTGCTTGAAATGGGTGGGTCATGTAGCCAGAAATACAATGAGAATAGCCCAACAAGCAAAATTATGCTGACGCGTCCAGAAAGAAAAAGAAGACTTAGAAGACCTAGATTGCGCTGGATGGATGGGGTCGACGCGGAGGTAGAACTCTTCTTGGGCTAGCTAACTGGAGGAGAGCAGCAAGAGAGAGAGAGAGAGAGAGAGAGTGACCAGTGGGTGAAACTGATTGAGGAGGCCAAGTCCCAGCGATGAGTTGTAGCGCCCATAAAGAAGAAGAGAAGGCTGGCATGTAGATATAATACAGATATTTAGTATAAAAACATACTAAGAAAAATACAAATATAAACAAAAAAATACAAAAAGAAAAATTAATAAATAAAATGGTTCTTATTAATTAACTGTTGGTGAGCAATTATAATTACATAATCTAAAAGTTCTTACAAACTTGCAGAAGTTTGAATTTGTAGTAGGTAGTGGAATAGGAGTTTGAAGGAATTTGTGATCATGGTTTGACATATGGAGATAGATTAGTTCCAAAAGGAGGTAGTACAAACGACAAATAATTTGCTGAAGGAAGTGATTTTATGAGAGGGGATATATAGATCTATAGGTTGAGATCTGGTATTAAGAGAGTGGATAGAGGAATGTAGAGTAATGAGTTCTAGGATGTAGGGAGGACGTTTGGTTCTGAGGACTTGCAAAAGGAAAATACCAAGAAGAATTGCTGTGAAGAAGTAGGATATTGCCACTTTAACTTGGTGTACAAGCCGGAAATATTGGAGCACCTGGGAATCCCAAAGATAAATCTTATGAAGCAATTGTGTCTATTCAGTTGTAAGGCTTCAATTTATATGTATTCCGCTCATATTTTTTCCTAATTAAATTTAAAAATTGTTTATTGATTCTGTGAAGGATTTGATATTAATATGATTTGAAAAGTGAGTCAAATTCATTTTTAAAAATACAGATGTCCCTTTTTGAAACAAATATTCAAAATTGTCCGTTTTTGATGCAAATTACTCCTTTAGTCATTGAATAGTTCTAACTAACTCACTTATGAACTCTAAAATCAGCCTTAACTTATGCACTTACATATATTTTAAAACTGCTAATAGAAAATAAAAATAAAAATGTTAGATCCAACATTCTATTTAAATAAATGTTTACAAATCTTAAATATTCAAAGTCGAATCAACTATTCAACCATTAGACCTCTGTCAAAATCTTCAAATACATTGGGACATTCACAAAAGTTATTTGGTAAAATACTGCTATCCTGGGGTTGTAGAAGGCCAGGGGTTTCAATTACATTTTGGACATTTCTAATCTGGTATAAACTCTCCCTCCAGATTTTCTTTTTTTAAGGGATGCTTAAGGTTTTATCCTTTGGGTTGATCATTTGAGGTCTGCAATTGTCCTCTCTGATCCATTGTCAAAATTGTAAGCCTATTCTATATTGAAAACTATGTTTCCCGACTTGATTTTCTTAAAAAATACTGGTCTGCATTTATAAAGTTTGAACTGGAGACGATCTTCTCTTGTTTATCTGTATTTTATGTTTCTAAACTGAGAAATTCTCTGTTTGTTTATATTCACATTACCTACCATTCATTTGATGCTTTTTCAACAGAAAACTCCTACAACTTTAGAGGATCCAATATCTATTTCAATTTAATAAATCCGTCTGTTAGGAAATCAGTCAAAAGTTATTGTTGTGACTTCGACTAATATGAGACAAGACACACACAAAAACTTACTGGATAAGGATTGAGGTTGCAGAATATAAAGATAAAAGACAATGTGGTCTTGTAACAAGTTAGAACAACAACCTTTATTAATCGTAAGAAAAGTATTACAAAAAAAGTATCATTTGTACAATACAGATGTTTAAAATATCATAGATCACCATGTGACGTCACAACATCTCCTTCCCCCTTAAAAGAGAATTTTGTTCCTTTAAAAAAAAAATAATAATAAGAAAAATTTAGTCATACACAAATGTCCTTCAGTCTGGTGAATACCGTACTGGTTTACGAATAGTTCTTTTAGGAAAGGAAGGTGTTAATTGTTCTTGATGAAGACTGCGATCTTCCGCTTGGAAACCCTCTTGTCCGGTGTCTAATATTTCCTCCGGGCTAAAATCCTCTTGTTCATTTAGACCTTCTTTAGAGTTCCATCCATGGTTTGGTTCATTTCTTTCTATATCCTCGTCATGTCCTTCCAAAGTACCTGTATCGCAGCATCTCGGAGAGCCAATGGTATCATCTTTGACTGGTGACTGGCTTCTGGATATGTCGATAACAGGCGAATGTTTTCCTAGGAGATATGGCCGCATCTGGTTTAGGTGCCTCTTCCACAACAAGTTGTCTTCTGTTTTGATGAGGTAGGTTTGCGGTCCCAGGGTGTCTTGTACGCATCCTTTGGTCCATTTTGGCGTGTTCGTATGGAAATCCCTTGCCCAAACTTGTTCTCCGACATGGAATAATTTCCGACGCTGGCCTCCATTTCTAATCATCTTTTCCTGGTGGGTCTCCACAATTTCTTCTGTCGACGGCAACAAAAGGTCAAAAATTGTTCTTGGTTTCTTTTTGAGGAGTAGATTTGCTGGAGATTCCCCAGTTGTCGCATGCTCCGTGTTCCTGTATTGTAATAAATAATCATTCAACGATTGGCACAGATTTTTCTCCTCAGCTAAAGACTTCAAAATACATCTTTTTAAAATTTTGACAGCTGACTCGGCACTACCATTTGATTGGGGGTGGAATGGGGCCCCTACCAAATGTTGAATCCCATATTTATACAAGAAAGTTGAAAATTCTGAGCCAACGAAGCATTTGGCTCCATCAGATGTTAAGGCTCGAGGTAACCCAAAACATGCGAATAGTTCTGAGAGCTTAGACATAGCTGTCTCAGTCGTCATTGATGGCACAAGAAAACTTTCGATCCATTTTGTTGTTGAATCCATGACCACAAAACAAGAAATTTTCTTATTTATAGGTCCCAAAAAATCAATGTGGATCCGGGTCCAAGGGATTTCAGGCCACGGATATGGCTGTAAAACTGCTTTAGGTGGGGATGGTCGAAAATGGCAGCAGGTCTCACACGAGTTGGCACACTGCTCAATATCTCTATCCAGCGCTGGCCACCAAAAATAATTTCGAGCAAAACTCTTCATTTTGACTGCACCTAGATGATTTGTGTGAAGCAGTTGCAAAATTTTATTCTGAAATTTTTCGGGTATGATAACAAATGTAAATGTTAAATAGCTCATCAAGAAATAACATTTGTGGGACACAAATTTTCAGCA